GTAACGTATTCTTCTCTCTCTCTCTCTCTCTCTCTCTCTCTCTCTCTCTCTCTCTCTCGTGGATTCGATCGAGCCGAGAACAATTTCATTTCGAGCTCGAATTCTCCTTTTCCCTTTTCTCTTTCTCTCTGTATAAAAGTAAAAAAGTACGCGTATTTGTCCGCGTTGTCCGCGTTGTCGTGCGATTTGCAAAGCGAGGCACCCTGAGTTGTTAAGTTTCAACGTTGTTACGTTCCTCCCTCCCCCTCTGTAGAGATCCCGATGCACCGATACGTCGCCTCGCCAGGAGAAGATTCATGGGGTGACTTGGAGATTTTTTTAAATATATATAGCGCGCTTGGTGCAACATGGCGCTAAAGTTAGCAGGGAGTTTAATACCTAACGACTCCCCAAGCTACCGTTTATACGGCTCCAAATTTCATCTCTTGCTCTTTCTTCCCCCCTCCTTATCCCCTCCTCTCCCGTTCCTCACCTTTAACCTCGTCTTCCTACGATATTATTAAATTTCCACGGTGAATTGAAGCAGGAAAATTCATTTTCTGTCCTTGTGTTATTAAAAAAAAAAAAAAAGAAGAAGAAGAGGGAGAAAAAGCACGTGCTAAGCCTATCTCTCGCGACAAGGAAGATCGGATTAAAAATATCCGATCGAACTTGAACGTGTATACGGAATTTTAACGTTTAGAGGAAGTTTGAAATCGTCAAACGTTAAATGAAATGAATTATTTATATTCCCCGGGAGGGGAATTTCCAGAGGCGACAATTATCTTGGCTTCGAAATTTTCTCGTTGCGCGAGAGGAAATGTAAATGTTGCAAAGCTGGAACACCCCTTCCTCCTCCCAATCGTGCTCGCTCGCAATCGCGAAAGTGTTCGGCCCAAGTTTGAATATCGATCGGTTTAATCACTTCGAAAACATTTCCAAAGTACGGCGAGTATCGCTCGAAGAAGGATCGACTTCTGGAACGCGTAGGATACGGGACAATTTCCAAGAGTTTCTCCTGGAACCCGTACCAGCCGGAGCGGCACTTGCGCAACTTTTCGCCCTTGTAGATCATTTGTGATTCTGTAGTCGTATCGCGAACCCCGCGTCTGACAGACTTTCGCATTAACAAATCGATTTTGCGATCGAGTTGAGGCAAAAGTTGAACCGAATTCGTCGCCTGAGAAACGCTTTCAATCGACTCGAGGAGATCGGTGACGACGATTGAAAGAGAAAGGAGAAGAAAAAATTATTAGAAAGTTAAGGGAATATCGTTCGAGAGAAATTCAAACACGTTACAGAAAAATCGATGAGAAAGGATTATATTTACGCGCAGTGTGGAAAACGATGAGCGAAATCGATGGACGAATTAGCGTAATGGTAATGGTAATCGCGCGATAACAAATAGATTTTGCAATCGAGTTGAAGTAAAAGTTGAACCGACGATCGAACCGTTTTGAATCGACTCGAAGAAAAAATCGGTGACGATGATTGAAAGAGAATGAAAAGAAAAAAGTTATTAGAAAGTTAAGGGAATATCGTTCGAGAGAAATTAATACGATACAGGATCGATGAAAAAGGATTATTTTTGGTAATCGCGCGATTTTGCAATCGTGTTGAGGCGATCGAACCGCTTTGAATCGACTCGAGGAGATCGATCACGACGATTGAAAGAGAAAGAAAAGGAAAAAGTTATCAAGGAATATCGTTCGAGAGAAATTAACGCGATAAGAGAAAGATCGATGAGAAAGGATTACTTTACATGCAGTGTGGAAAACGATGAGCGAAATCGGTGGACGAATTAGCGTGGTGTAATCACGCGATAAACCTTCTCCTCTCCCCATCCAGTTCGAACGGCACAGATTGCTCGGGCCCGGCCTTAATAATAATTTTCTTTAATCACTGCATTCTATATTTAATTCGCTGGCGTCTGATAGCGGCGCGAGCGTGATCTACAGTTCTTCGGTAAGCTCGGTAGGCTAGCTTAGCGAGCCACTTATGGCTGATTTATACGATCCATTACCACCTACTACCAGTGACCCAATAAGACCGTCCGCGCCAGCCTCGGTGAATCGGATCGCTCTTAAAGGCTCGCAAGGCCCGTTGTCGGCTAGTTAAACCGTCCTCGTGTGCGAATCTTATTAAGGTCAATGACGATCCCCTCCCTCTCGTGACGTCAAGATCAATTATTAGAAATTATTGACGCGAGCGTACGCGTTATCGAGCCTTGATTCCTTGATCGAGATTTTTCCATAGTACTGGACGAACCTTGGATTGCGTACTATTTTAATTATACATTTCTTCTTCTTCGCGTTAAGATACGAATATATATTTGGCAATTGGTATCGAGACAGAGAGAAAAAGTATCCTCTTCGAAAGCTGCGTAGCTTTTGACTTTTAGAATCTTTTGTTTTCGTCGTCATACGAAACTGTTCAACCCGTTCGGGTAAAAAAAGAGCATCGGGTTGACGACGAATACGAATGTTAAAATATTAAAATTGTCTCTTCTCGCGAGACAACTTCAAAGCGGCGAAGAGATTCCGGAAGATTAGCTGAGAAAACTCGGGGAAATTCGGTGGTTCGTGAAGATCGAAAATCAACAATCAAGATCGAACAAGGTGGAAGGGGTGGAAGAGGGTGCTCGAGGACAGAAGTGGAATTCGCGCTCGATGCGAGAATGGTTGAAAAGCGGAAGCGGAGGGAACGAGGGAGGGGAAAAAAATGAGCGGAACGACGAGTGGAAGAAGGATGAAGAAGAGTTTTAGGGCGGATTGTTCGAGTGCCCTTCGAGCTAGACGTTATCGGGAATAGAGCTCGAGACGAAGAAGGGGCGAAAGGGAGGGGGGAATCTGGATGATGTGCAATTAGGAAAATTGAATTCCGGCGTAATTAACTTTCTTAATTAATAGAATCGTGGAATTGTATCTTTAATCTGGCCGCTGGAAGTGGTTCTGGCAGCTTCTGTCACCGAACGAGAGAGGGGAGAGAGTGTGGCTTGGCTCCGACTTGGGATGAAACCAAGAACTGATGAGGAAGGAATGGAAGGGTGAGAAGGAGACACACAGAGAGAGAGAGAGAGAGAAGTCAGATTGACGAATGAGAATGAAACGGTGGGAAGAGGAAGAAGCGAGATATAAGATAGGGATTGTTGCAGAAGTGGCGACGATTGCGAGATACTCTGGGATGGGAAGTCGCTGTAAGTTTTGATATATGCGCGACGTTATTTACGATCGCATAAGAATTAGCCCAGACAGGCAAGCCGGTCTTCTAGCAAAAAGCCCGGACTTTATGTCACTGACTGCCACTGCGCTCCACCGATTTTTGCTCCTTCTTCCCTTCCGGAAAACTCGTTAAAACGTCGCGTCCCAAAGTCGCGAAATCGACGAAATCAAATCAGCCACATGACGTTTCTTTCTTGTATCCGCAATTGCTGCATCGATGGACGACCCCTTTAATTCAATCCCTTCCCGTGCATCCCTTTCTTTCGATAGAGATATCGGAACTCGCACTTCTTTCGAACGAAGGAAACCGCCGATAAAACACGCGGCATTTCGCGTAAACATTCGTCTCGGTTCAAAGATTCGAAATTCCGGATTGTCAACGAATCGTTGCGACCGCGTGAAAAATTAAAACGGGGGCTCGTTTGGAAGCTCGTGGCGGCGGAGCTACGTTCGTTAGAAGGAAAGCCGATGGAAAGTCATTTTTCTCCCTCCCCCGTCCCCCTCCATCCCCTTTGCCGGAAACGGCAGATTAATTAATCACGTCAGCGCCGATTTCGAGCTCGACCACCGGATCGATTAATAAAACCGTGGCAACCGTTCGTTATTTAAGTTAACTTTCGCGCGCGGTTAATTACGCCGGCTCGTCGAATTCCGCATATTTTCAACGTGGAAATGGAATATGGCGATGGTATGAATGGCGGTGCACGTGAAATTTTGTTTTGATGGCCGGCCGCCTTTAATCCCAATGGTGGTGGTGGTGGTGGCCTCTCTGCGCCCCTCTGAATCCGCGATGAGACGCGTAAATTCATAATCTGTAAAATGATACAGCGATTCGCCCAACTTCTGATTTATGATCCCGACCCATAAGGCAGCGGCGTATTTCCACCCCCACGGTAATGATGATGCACCGTCGTCGATTCTGACAGTTGGAAAAATTATTATCGAAGATGTATCGCCCCCCTCCCTGTTCATCGATCGAAAATAAAATAAATTTTCGCCGCTCGTTTCCCGTTAACCTCTCGCGTTTAACCTCTCGTTAGAATTATAAACAAAGCGTGTGTAAGCGTGTGAAAGTCGTGCGATTCTCAGTGTATCGTCGAACGTGGAAGCGAGCGGTAACGGAAAGTGCGAAAGTAAACAGCGAGGAATGACGCGGCGTAACGTTCGGATGGATGGACGGATATTTTTTTGGAATTTGTGAACGATAACGAATCATCATCGTGTTTTCGTATTGTTTTCGTATCGGTAAGTCTGTTTGCACGATTTTATAAATTAATCAATTGCTTTTGTGAATTTCGCGTAATAATTGTTTTCTTGCGAGTCGAGTGTTTACGATCTCGTCGTAATTCCGGCCTCGAGGCAAGAGTTTTCATCGAATCCACGCACGATAATCTCAACCGCGCCGCGTTTCTCATTTATTATTTATCGGTGATATTTGCCTCGATGCTCGAGCTCGTAAAAATCATCTCGACGTCGAAACACCGTTTCGCGTTTAATTGCCGGTGATTCTTTTCGAAAGCGGCTACTACTCGACCGCCTCGTAACCCATAAACGTGCGAACAAAGTGCGTTATTCGAAAAATAATATCGCGAATTTATCGACGTGTGATCGACGTGTGTGCGTGCAATTTGTACAAGAGGTGGTACGGAATATATGTATGACCGGTGTAATGAACGGCGGAGAGATCTCGTTCGTTTTTCATTTCAAACGAGTTATTATCTCCATTTCGTATGGCGATCGATGACCGATATTTGATCCAACGCGCTTTTTTCTTTTTCTTCTTCCACCGCAGTTGAAAAAAGCGAACGGATTTTCAAAGTTTCGAACGTGTCGAATCCCGTCCGTGGACATCCGCGCATCCACTCGGATGAAATCGGTAAAATCAGAGAGGGGGGGGGGGCGGAGAGGAAGAAGAAGCGGTGGAACCGGTGGTTGCCTATAAACCGCGTAAATTCGCAATCTGTGAAACTACGAAACTACTACGAGTCGGGCTAAAGTTGTGATTTACGACGCATCCCGTTTCGTCCCGGGGAACACGGGGACAAAGGAAAAGGAGGATAGGTTGGATTGTTACGTGTGTAGGTAGGAGGAGTGGTGGGTCGGTCAGGAAAAATGCGACGTCGCGCGGGCCGCCGCTTCCTTGCAATAACTTCCGAAGGAAAATTCACGATAATAGAGACTACCACTGCCGCCTGTGAATTTCGCATGCAAGTGTGCTTACGCCACTCCTCCTCGACCACCCTTCTTCTCGCCAAAACCCTCTTCTTTCCACCCTTTATTCTTCACCCTTCTCGTCTCCCCTTTCCTTTTCCCTGCCAACGAGATCTCTCCTCCGCTCGTGCCACAACCCCCCTCCCCTCTCCCCCTCCCTTCCTCTCTTCTCTATTTCTCGCCGACCCGTCTTCCTCCCTGGATTTACCCTCCTCCTCCTCCTCCTCCTTCCACTCGTCGTGGACCCAAACGACGTCCGCGGCGAACCAAGAAGAGAGGCTGAGCTAGACAAATAGTCGCACCGTGAAATACCGCCGCCTCCTTAAAACTTTAAAGTGTTTCGAGTAATCCTAAGGCGCGACTTTAGATCATGGGTTCCCCGCGCCTTTTCTCTCTTCCACCTTCTTCCTTGTTTCCATTCTCTCCTTTTTTCGTCCTCCTCCTGCCCCCTCTTCTCTCTTCTCGCCTTTCCACCCTCAGCGTTCTCTCTCTTTCTACGTGCACGAAGACGATTACCGCGAATCGAACGCAAATGGTCGTCGCGTCCCGTAATGCTTTCTCTCCCCCCGATGAGGAAGGCTCTTGTTCTGCGGTGGAACGACGATTTAGGGTTAGGTTTTATAGCGGCAATTCGCAGCGAACGTTACCCATTACGCGAAGATACCACTTTGACCGTATTTTTCCGGACGAGGATCGTGTCGCAAAATTCGCACGAAACAGCGAAATTTAAAAAACAGGGAAAGTTAAAAATCAATCGAAATACGCGAGTTGTAATTGTCGAAGAACGAGGGGAAAGGGAGGTGAGTGGATGGATTTAAAAAGAGGATCGGAGAGAAGCGTGGTCGGAAACGTTAAAAGTATAAAAGTTTTGGATTCGGTTTTTTTTTTTTTTTTTAAGAGTAAATTCAACGCGCTAACCTGGCTCGACGATCAACATCACTGTGTCCGTTCGCCCCTCGGTCGGTCTGCACGAATATTTCCCGACATCGTGCGGCGTGACCGCTGCCAGAGTCAATTCCGACACTGTTCGAGCCGCGCCTCTTTCAGTCTCCACGTTTATTCCCCCTCGTGCAGCCTGGAAACAGTGCAAACAGGGCAAATGCGACGTGAAATTCGCCGCATAAACGCGACGAGAAACATTGGACGAAACGAATCTTTCTCTCCTTTCTATTTTTTACCCCCTTCTCTCCTCCTCCTCCTCCTCCTCCTCCGTCTATCTCTCTCTCTTACCTGGTTGGTTATACCGACCAGGTTCGCGAATATCCCCACGTATTTACGATTAATATCGTTTTTATCTGTAAAAACACGCATTATCCACTGGCAAACACGATATCCACTGGTTGTTGACCAGTGCGAATATTATTACGATCGAAAAATATGGCGAACGCGGAAAATTAAATAAATCCCCTCCCACCCATCCAGTTCGCTCGAACCCGGATTGTAATTTCTGTGTAATAAATCTGGCAAGATGAATCCGGCGCGTGGCTTCCGCGGATAAATTTTCAACAGTTCGCCTATCGCTGCCTCGCGATCAAAATGCTGCGCCCCGGATTCAATTTTTCATTCATTCAATTACCCTCTACCCACCATTCTAATAATACATCCGTAACAAAAATCTCGAATTTCATCGTGAAGAACTTGCGTTGTTCGTCGTTCTATTAATTTTTTCGCGGGGAAAAATTCGATTCTTCCTTTTTTTTTTATTTTTTTATTTTTATTCGAATAACGAGATATTTTCGATATTTCATCCATCCGGGGCAATTCGACGCGCGTAAACAAAAATCTTGGAGAGTCTACGGGGTTGAACGAAGGAACGTGAACGGCCTCGTCCCAACGCTGACATGATTTATGATCGTGTTTCTTTCGTTCGTTCGAGAGATTGTCGAGTAGAAGAGGCGGAGGGAAGAGGGAGGAGGGACTCGGTGTAAAAAATTTCATTAGAGTCTGTCTCGCGAGAAGACGGGGAGCTGCATTACCTGGAATGTTAGGAGTTTGTTATCCCGGAGCCATTGCACGCCCCTGATGGGCCGAGTCTGATACGGGGACAATATGACGCACCTCAAGGTGATGGTCGACCCCGATGGCACGCTCTGCTCCCGTGGACCCATTATCGCAGCCACTGGTGCCGTGCTCTCGTAACCTGAAATCCATGCACCGACAAATTATCGAATGGCAATGTTAGGATGGGTGAGAATTTAAAATTTTTTTCAAATTTCTTTAAGATATATATATATATATATGATATATGCGTGGGTTTGAAAATATTGTAAAAATTCGTTGAATTTATCACAGGTGTCCTTTGATTGAATACTCGACTTATCGTTGGACGTATTGATATATATTTTTCTTTTCTTGTGAAAAAGAATTTCACAAGAAATTCTAGAAAAAAGAGGAGGGTGTTGAATTGAAAAAAATAATTGAAATTGGGATCTTCGTTCCAATGATAAACTGAAATGATTCTTTCTCGTGTCGGGTCGTTAAATGTCCGCCGCGCTTAAAAAAACTTAATAGAGATTACGTGATATTTCAGTGAGTATTTTGTGGGATATAATTTTCAGAGTCGTTAATTCTTCGAATAATTTTTCTTATCGAAGTTAGCCCATTTCGCATGTGGACCGATTAATGCGTTCTATATTTAAAAGTGCGCTTCTTGCGCGCGTTCGTTTGAATAAAGATACCGCGCGTTTAAAACAATGTTAAACAGCTTATGGGGCCGGAGATCCGAGAAGAAAGTAATTACGCGAAGGGTCGGAACTTGTGGTAAAAAGAACGGAACGTGTTTTATGCCTGCCCGGCCTGGAAAAGTAGATTCATTAAAAACCGTGCGGTACGACGAAGCCAAGATTTACGGAAGTATGTGACCGACTATAAACTTGAAAACTTTACCCGACAACCATTAACGACTCTCCCCTGTTTTTTTTTTTTTTTATTTATCCAAGCGATTGCATCGGATCGATTAACCGATCGTTCATCGAAAATAAATACCGAAGAAATTGCGAAATCATCGTTGCTTCTTCACCGATTCGTTCTTTCCAACTTTTTTTCTAATCGATAGAATCGAATTAATATCTCGTCGTGTAATCGTCGATCCGTTAATCGATCCGTAATCTTTCTTCTTTGTTTCTCCATTCTTAATTTTCAATACGCGCCATTAAAGATTCGAGACGAATGTAGAAGGATGATTTTAATTAATACGAATGTTTTTTCCTTTTCTTTTTTCTTTTTTTTTTTTTTTCCTTGTCTCTCGAATCTTGCACACACGCCACTTTATAAAGTAAAACTGCGCACGGTGAAAAAGAAAGGCGTAACACGCCTTTCCGTCCCGGGCGTATGTACTGTCAAGTTTGTACATTTTAATTTAGAGAGTCGGCGTGGCACAAGTGGCCGTTTAATATGCGTGCCACCGTGAAACGACGTGTTTTTCTCGCGAACCTGTGTTCGCCCCAATTCCCGCTTAAAATCGACCCCGCGCCGCGAAAAATCGATTCGAAAAATAAACACGTGCAACGTTTCAAAACGTTCACGCAACTCTTCAAAACCGGTTCAAAATTTAAAAATATATAATTTTCTGGAAAGCGTTCTCAAATCTTTCTCCCGAGGATTCGTAGAATTGTAGACTCGACTAGATTTTTTTTATTATTTTCACGGATAATCTGCAACGAAATCTTTTCGGATTCGAGATCTAAACGCTAATCTATTTCTCGCTCTTCCTATCGTATACGAAGCGTTGATATATTCGTCGAAGGGATATCTTTGGAGGATCGATTCTAGGAGAAACGTAAAATATAAAGATACAGGTTTATTGAAAGTTTATTCATAATAAATAAATTAACCAACTTTCTTTTTTTTTTTTTTTGTTTTCGCCCTCCAGAATCGATGCCCCCTCCCCAAAGGTACCCATCCCCAACACGAATATCCACCAAAACACGATCCACGTTGAAGAATAAGGTAACGAGGAGTGGAAAGGAAAGGAAAGGGAGAGGAGGAGGGGAGAAGGTGAAGAGGAGAGAGAGCGTTCGTTCTCCAGCTGAATATCCTCAGTCCGGAAATTGGAGTTTGAAGTGTGAAGAAACAAGGGAAGCGTCTAGTGCTCGGTACAACAGAGGCGGCCTAATAATTCATTACACAGGCGAAAGGGAAAAACAATGGGAGCGGTAGCTCGTAAGGGGTTGCCACCCATGGTGTATGATAATGTCCGGGACAAGCATACATTATTCAACGAAAGAGAGAGAAAGAGAGAGAGAGAGAGGAGGTCGCGATAGTTGAGACTCGTTAAACGCCATGCTGAGGGGCCATGGAAGCGCGGTGGTTATGACCGCACCAGGTGACGAGGAAAAAGAGCGAGAGGAGAGCCAGAGGAGGTTTTCCACGACTAGCAGGATTAAGGATAATCCTATTAGACTTGAATTAATCCCCTGGGAACTGCATTTCTCCTCGGCGAAATATTACGTTATGCCGTTATTACTGTACACGGCGGTGGCCAAAAGCCTGTTTTTCCTTCGCGGATCTCGTGCTTTCTTTGCGCCCCCATTCGCGAATCACTTCGATGACAATTGTCACTGATCCTCGCCATCTTTAATTATCATTGGGCGGATCGGTGGACGGACGCTCGAGAAAGTTAAAGTTGTTGGATTTTGTTTTTTATATAGAATTTTTTAAAGGAAGGTGATGCTTTTTTATAATTTCTGAATTATAACGCGTAATATTTTTCGCTTCTTCGAGAAGGGAGAAGGAATTTTTCGGTTGAAATCGACGCTCTCGTTTTCTTTCGCCGCTCTTACATTTGACCTCGAAGTCGATAGCAATTTCGCGACCGGTCCCCGAGAACGGATCGACGATCGAGGAGGATGAATTTCAGGCCGAGAGTTGGGAGCAATAAAGAAAAAGATGCCAGAAATCTCGCGTCCCGGAGGATGAAATGATGGAACTTGGAAAGAATTATGAAGCGTCTGAGCAGGTGGAAGGATGGTGCAAGAAGAATCGACGACAGATCCCCCGGGCGTCAAAGCCAGCGAAGAAGCGCACTTATCTTTAAGTGATTGATGTCGACTGGATCCGTTGGAGGAATAAAAAGCGCCTGTCGGATGATTTTTTAACGGGCCAACGGGTGTATAAAGGTGTCACGACATTCCTCCTCGCGTAAAAGAAGAATATATCAAGTTCATCAGCGTATTTGAGGGAGGGAAATGAAACGAGGTATTCGGAAAATTTATCTGAACTCCACTTATTCTTATGAGATGATAAAAAAAATCTTGATTCATCCATCTTCCCCGATGTTCACGATAAAATATCGCGATGATGATGATGAAAATTGTACAAATATAATTTTCAAAGGGTGAAATTATAACGACAAAGTTTCGAGCGATATATATATATATTAGCGAGATTTTCGTGGTAACGGTCGAAATATCTACTAATTCGCTCGTTTAAAAGTTTGCAATCGCATAACTGTACGAGCGTACGTACATTCCTTGCAATGCCGCAATGCCCGCGCAAGCTTATTAGGGGATAGAGTAGAAGGGAACGCGATTTAAATATAAAGGGAATGAAAAGTCGAGTCTGTTAACTTTACGGTGAAAGGGACACAATGAAGAGTAATTGTATCTGTAAGAAATCTGAAATCCCCTTTCGAAAGTTTCCGCTTGGTGAAAATTATTTATTTTCTCAAATCGGAAGAAGTGCGGATCGATCGATTTACGAATTTCTATCTACGAAAGAATCTTGTATCCAAAGAAAGAAATTTTCAACGGAATTTTATTCTATTCTCTTATTATTCTACACTCTATTCCCTTATTCGCGTTATTGATTCGATTCATTAAAAAAAAGATACAAAAAAAGAAGAAAAGATGAAAAAAGAAAACGAGAGAACGCGGAGATTAATTTTGCACAAATGGATTGACACGGGGAAAACTTCCAATGAAGTTTTCATTGCATCGTCGACACGTGTACATCTGTCATACCGAATCGGAGAAATATGCAATAAAAGCGGGCGCGTGACCCATGCCCGACGATTTATCGCCGGGATTTTGATTAAAAATATTTTTTAATCATCCCTGACGTTCATATAAAAACATGGAGTATTTATTCGCCCCTTCGCCCGTGACATTGCGCTCAACCCGAGCTTCATTTAAATTTAATTTGACAAATGCCGATGTGAAATTAGACTGGCCGGCAGTCTTAAATTTATCCACGCGTATCTATTCGAATCCCCCTCCCCCCCTCCCTCCCCCCCAGGCACACAATGCAGGGAGACACTCGTGAGATGGAAACCCGTGGAACTAACGGTACGTGCACAAGCGTTGTAACTATCCGACCGAAATAAACCTTCGTTTTCTTCACGACGCTTCGCTTACTTATTCGCGTCTGCTGAGAATGCGGCTCGTCGTAGCCCTCCGGTTTGTCAGGATCTGGAAAAAAGGAACAACGGTTATATATACATATATATGTATTGTAGTGTATTTTGTCATACACGTACACACACACGCACACTGCTGAATCCGCATTTCGTAATCGGATAAATAACGTCGCAAGACGGGGACTTTGTCCAACGCGTGCCCGTTATCCCTTTTTTCCCCCTTTTACCCTCGTTACATTCGTATTTCCAAGCATTACCATATAATTAAAAATCGCAGCCGGGGAAAGGTGGAGGAGGAGGAGGATCGAGCACGAGAAAATATTCAACGAGGTTAGCGGTCGGTCAAGCTATTAAACGAAGCTCCGGTTTAAGGACAATTCAATTTAGTGGGCGAATTTAAATAAAGCAGAGAGAGAGAGAGAGAGAGAGAGAGAGAGAGTATTAAGT